GCTGCAAGAACATGCTCTTCGACAACGTGTTAAGGAAAGTACTAAATACAGTTCGGTTAATGCTCCGTCCCTGTTGGATCTAATGATCACTATACTCAAGAATAATATCATGGAGCTACAGTCGCACGCGTCTCTTGGTAAAAGCAACCACGTCATCATATCGATCTAAGTGTGCATGCGGCAAGCTGGGGTATCATACAAGCTGACTAGAAATTTCGGCTGCATCGATCCAGGGAATATTAGAACCGGAGAATCGGTGTTGCTTAGGGATGCTCGGGAAGGAGCTAGCGCAGAAGACCATTAGATGTTAATTATGGAGGCCCTAGTAGATCTGCAAAATTGAATTTGCTCTATTGCAACCCAGCCAACGCTGCGACAAGCCGTTGTGGTGGAGGGCAGCCGTAGCCATGGCCGTTAAACAATGAAATAAATACTGGAAGCGTTTGAACGGTTGCTATTTCCTGGCCGAAATGGGTTCCAAAAACGTCAACCAAACGGACGATCCAGCAAGTTTCTACGAAACTACAATTATAAACAATAAATTAAGCAAATAATATCTATAAAAACCCCTATCTATTCTTGGAACAACTTGGAAATAAGAGCCAGATGTTACCGCGAGCGCATTGCAACAAATCTCAACTGAAGAAAATGAGTCTGGATAGGAAAAGCACGCTAACCGTCACACCGCACTCACACGAGTCAAATATGAGCGTTCAGGTCGCGATTAGAACAAATAAAATCCGAATGAAGCAGGAAGCAAAGTCAAATAATGGGATCGATGTGAAAATATACAAAGGAGGTAGAATGTTAAATGACTGTGTATGTTATAAGTGGATAGTTTCAGGTAAATCGAAACGTCTAATTCACGAAATGTGAAACCAAGTTGGATTGTTTGAGTTTTACAGGAAGGATGTTTACAGATCGATCAATACATCTACAGCAACACTCGAAGAACACGTGCGTAGACGCGAACGGAGTAAGTATTGCGTTGTAGCTAATTTCGCATATTAAAACAGGTTTCATAATAGTGTCATAGAAAGGAAAATAGTAAAGTAAGACCCTACACTATATATGATATTCATGTGTACTCTGCTGTCATCCATTTCTCCCCTACACTTCAAGACAGACAGACAGAACGAGAATACCAAGGTATCTTAGCACAGTGAGATGCTGAGGTTAACCGATCAAGAAATTAGACTCAATATGGCTTNTATGGCTTGATCCACAAGTCCCAGGACCTCGTTTGACCTGACCTCAGATCTCTGACCTGCACTGGAGGAGATGATATTTTTTCATCTTCCCGTGTAGAGCCGTTTATGACAAGGACGATGAAAAACACTTGAAGAACTACAGTTTTGCTTGACGTTTTCAGTCCAGTTTGTACAGAACAGAAAATGACCACGGCCAATTGAGCATCCAGAATTCCATCGGTGGTATGCGGTTAAGTATGCCGGCCACAAATGCAAAACGTAGTCCATAACTTCCCGGTTGAAAAAAGAAAGAAAAGAGAAATACACATCATCTGACCTCCAGGGCTCCAAGTTCCTCTCAAATTGCTACTTGGCCTCTCTTTGAACTTTCTGTCCACAGTTTCGCGCTGGTTTGTAACCACGACTGATGTGCGCCACACAGTTTATAGACTTTCCGACGTCTTCTGCGAATGATTATATCTCCACATATTAGCCCTACTTCAAGTAGGACGTTGTTTCTTTCTAAACGGACCAAAGGTGCGAACCTGTCCGTGAGTAGGAGAAATCCTGCCTTGATACGGCTTTATCTGGTTTCCAGTGATGCATCGGCTGGGTTGGGTACCCAATTTATATACTGTGCCGCTCTGACTGGTTTGTCCTGCTTGATTCTGCCATATGGCTTCAATAGTTTGGCCGCTGGTTTGGTGTACCTGCTTTCTAGCGTTAGTCGCAGGATCATATGACCACTTACCAAGGGGATCGTCCTGGGTTATTGTCCTGATATATATCAGACTTCTCGTGATCACTAGATTCTGTCATTTCCTTTAAACAGGTTGGCTTGTCGCATGTGTTGTTCATACCCGACTTAGCACAGGATCTTCAAAATCCTCGCTTCATTTTTGCCGATGACGTCAAAATGGCGGGCACCGAAATGCAGATGAATTTAGAATAAATCCATAAAAGGACTGTTCATTGGGATCTTCCTTTGAATCTCACCAAGTGTCAGCTGTTGACCTTTGGACACAAAACTTACTTGGTAAACGGTCTACCGCTACAACAGGACCCACAAATGAGAGACCTTGGGAATAATATGAACCACAACTTAAATAACTCACCTCAGTGCCTCCGGGGAAAAGAACAAGGCCAGAGGGAAATTATTTCTCACATGTGCACCAGTCACTAGCAGGCAATATGAGGTTTTCGTACCCTTATAGAGGACCATACTTCGCCTTAATTTCTAATATTATGTCCAGGCTTGGGCATCGCACTACAGGAAGGACATAATATGATTAGAGAAGGCGCATCATCTGGCCACTTGAATGGTAGCTGGACAGAGGAATAGAAGCTACTAGCAGAGACTAAAGTACTTTAGTCTTTCTTCGCCTGCTATAGACTTTCAAAATAGTGAAAGGTCTGTCAGGGCTCAATCCAGGTGATCTGTTTACCGTAGCCCCCAATTTACATTTAAATTTAAATTTACTAAACAAATGTTTGGTTGGTCAACAAATCTGTGTTATATGAAAAGATGAATTCTCCTCAGGCTGGATCCCCTCTGGTTACGCCGGATCAGACTAAATCTCACCATCTTACATAGTTTCATATACAAAAAGGCCCACTCGACGACTAAAATTGATTTTTCGGAAAACTCACAATACCCACTACGTAACTATGCAAACATACTCCCTACAACTCCCGACAGAACTGCAACACGAAAAAGATTCTTCCTTAGTACTTAATCTAGAATATGGAACAAACTGCCAATGCACGGAAGCATAAGAATTGATACCGCATTCGAAATGGGTTACGACTACTGACCACCCGAAATCTGATTCAGCTTCAGAGCGGGATCTGTGAAACTTGATCCACTGTAATACATATACTTAAGCAATATAATCCATTCTACTCTACATGATATGCATCTGCTCACATTTCTACCAGACTAATTTGAAACACATTTTTAATACATCCTAACTACGTC